AAGGACAATATCCAGTGCAAGGAAAGGGTATGCAGTTATATCGTCTTCTGAGATCTGTCTTCTGATGTAGCAATTATTTGATTTACCGATTTTATGCCAACCATGCACTTGCATTACCTTTGATGCTCGCTTTATTGTATTATCACTCATCAAAAAGAAAAAGAATTAAAATCGTCGTCAAGTTAAAAAATTTATTGGGCTTGCTTGCTTTTGGAATGTTATGCTCAATTATTAGATCACTCTTACAATGTTCTAATCTTATGAAACAATTTGCAGGTTTTGCGTATTGAACTCGAGGCACCTACACCATCTTTAGGGGCTCCTGAGCCTCTAATGCACCGTGTGGTAAAATACTTAGCCCTTGCCTCTTCCATGAAAAACAAAGATGGAAAATCAAGTGGAAACTCATATGTTGAACCAATTATCTTGAAATTGCTGGTCACTTGGCTATCTGATTTCCCTAGTGCTGTGAATTGCTTCCTAGATTCACGTCCCCACATCACATATCTTCTTGAGTTGGTCTCCAATTCGTCTACTACAGTGTACATAAAGGGATTGGCGGCTGTTCTTCTTGGGGAGTGTGTAATCTACAACAAATCAGTTGAAAGTGGGAAGGATGCTTTTACTATAGTTGATTCTATAAGCCAGAAGGTTGGGCTCACGTCATACTTTCTGAAGTTTGATGAGATGCAGAAAAGCTTCCTTTTCACCTCTGCAAGGTCTACTCAGCCCCGTAAACAACTAACCAGATCTGCTTCTGCTAGTATGGTAGAGATTGAAGATGTTGATGAGAACAATTTATTGGATCAGAAGAATGAGGATCATCCAGTTCTCTCCTCAATCTTTGATGCTCCATTTGTAAACCTTGTTAGGAGCTTGGAGGTGAACATCAGAGAGAAAATCGTTGAGGTTTACAGTCATCCAAAGAGCAAGGTGGCAGTGGTGCCAGCAGAATTGGAACAGAAGAGTGGGGAAAGTGATAGGGAGTATATAAAGCGGCTGAAAGCATTTGTGGAGAAGCAATGCTCTGAGATACAGGTATTGTTTTGTGTACACAAGCTCTTGGCTTCCCGTTTTCTTTGTGGCATTTTTGGTACCATGAAATCTGTTTTCTGAAGAGTATGTCACAACGTACAACAATAGTTAGGACTTAAGAGGCAATCAGTAGAGAAGTGTTTGGATCCGGCCATAAGTGGGCTAGGGCTACTTATGGGCGGATCTCTGCAAAGATGTGGATTGGAGCCTCCATGGGTGTTTAATGGTGTGGGTTGGCCTCCATCTATTTTCCAGAAATGCAATTTTCAATCACGTATGCAACACCATTCAATCCTGAGTTTGATAGAAGTGCCCTTTGTGATGTAAAAGAGTACCCTAGTTGTCTCTGGAATAAGCATGCCGTGGTATGAATGCTTGAATATAATTGTATTAAAAAATATGGTTGGTTTGATATTCTTTCTTGTCTTTCAGGACCTCCTTGGTCGCAATGCAACTTTGGCTGAGGACGTGGCAACGACTGGTGGGGGCAGCAGTTATGCCCGGCCTGAGCAGGGTGCGGGATCAGACAGAGTCCAGGTAGAGACATTGAGACGAGATCTTCAAGAAGCATCTAAGCGGTTGGAGTTAGTCAAGGCAGAGAAAGCCAAGATTGAATCAGAGGCATCCATGTATAGAAGCTTAGCTGGTAAGATGGAATCTGATCTGAAGAGCCTGTCGGATGCTTACAACAGTCTTGAACAGGCGAATTTTCATCTGGAGAAGGAGGTGAGAGGCCAGCAGGGCGTAGGAGGGTCTTTGTCCGTTCCAGATGTAGAGGGAATTAGAGCAGAGGCAAGGGAAGAAGCTCAGAAGGAGAGTGAGGCAGAACTGAATGATCTTCTTGTGTGCCTTGGACAAGAACAGACCAAGGTGGAAAAACTGAGTGCAAGGTTGTTGGAGTTAGGGGAGGACGTGGACAAGCTGCTTGAAGATATTGGAGATGATATGGGCCTGCCTGCTGATGGTGAAGAGGAGGAAGACTGATGATGATGCTGACGTCTTACATTTTATTTTTATTTCATGGCGTGATCTCATCATTCATCTTCCTGGTATGGAATGGATGGTGGTGGACGGGGTTTATGCTTGGCTCTGCCTTTGTACATTTCTGGTGGAATTTGTACAGTTGATATTTATTATCATTAATACTCGAAGATTCTGGATCAAACTGTTTTTTTTTCCTCCTCAAATTTAATTTATACTCGTTTGATTGGTAATTATTCAAAGTTTCAATTTATTCTCCTTCCAGTATCCTTCAGGTCTGTATTGTTTTTTGCTAGTTTTTGGACTGATAAAAAACCTTCACATTTCATTGGAAGGGAGAATCGAATTTAGGAGCTCGAATGGATGGTAAATGCTCTTAACACTTGGCTACAAGGCCCTTGCGAAAGTTCATATTTCTTTTCCTTACATTTCTTTTCTCACTTGGGTTCCAAGTCTCATGCGCTGGTTCATATTTCTTTTCCTTAAAAAAAAAAAACAAAACAAAATAGTCATAGTGAAAATACGTCTAGCCAACCTAAAAAGATACCTAAGTCGAAAGAAAAACAAGTGTACTTTTGACAGAGAGAAGTCTATTTACCGGGCAAAAATGGTAAAAGTGATTAAATTTGGTTAGATTAATTAAAATTAATGGCTATTAATGAAGAGAAAACTAGAAGCAATAAGAATAAAATAGAAAATCAGTCAGTAGTGACGTGGCTTAGATAAAGTAGAAGAAGTGAAGTGGTAAAGGCCCAACAAACGCCCCCTCCGAACGCAGCGACGCGGCAAAGGAAGTCTCGCCTGATTCACAACGTCAGACAAACGACTGCACATTGACAGCCAGCAATACAACAAGTGCTCACAGCGACAAAGCAGGAGTTTGAGTTCGAAGATCCAGTGGTTGTCAGCTGAACTTTCAAATCGAAAATGGGTGACCACCAGGCCAAGAGCGAAACTGCGTCGTTGATCGAGCACAGGGCCTACGCCAGGGTGGGCCTGCTTGGGAACCCGAGTGACGTGTATTTCGGCCGGACGATCTCCTTCAGCCTTGGCAACTTCTGGGCCACCGTGTATTTGCAGCCGTCCGATGATCTCGTCATCCAACCCCACCCCATCCACGACCTCGTCGTTTTCAAATCCCTAGACCACCTGGTACCTCCCTACACTTGAATTGCAATTACACAAAAATTAAAATCTTCAGTTTGTGCGAATGAAATGAATTATAAAAATCAAAATCAACAGGTGAATCGATTAGATAGTGAGGGTTATTATGGAGGCGTCCGATTGCTGATGGCAATTTGCAAAGTCTTCCTTGATTATTGCAAAGAAAACGAGATTCAGTTAGAGGCTCGAAATTTCACTCTCTCATATGATACTAATATCCCTCGACAGGTATTATCAGTTTATTTTCCATTACGCTTAATTTTAGTGATTCAGTAAAGTAGGGGCTTTTAAGCAAGTAATGATGTTTCTCTTTCACTTTCAGACAGGACTTTCAGGGTCTAGTGCTATTGTCTGTGCAGCCCTGAGCTGCCTTCTTGATTTTTACAAGGTTAGGCATTTGATCAAAGTCGAGGTCCGCCCCGGCCTCGTCCTTAGTGCCGAGAAGCAACTTGGAATTGTTGCCGGTCTTCAAGATCGTGTTGCCCAGGTGTATGGTGGCCTTGTTTACATGGTACTCAAATTTCAACCATTCCCTACCTCGCCTCTCCTTTTCACATTTCAACCATTCCCTACATTACATTGCTTCTACTTGTAGTAACTTTTTAACTTCCTAGGAATTTGACAAGGAGCACATGGATACTTTGGGGCACGGCATTTACACACCCATGGATGTTAGTCTCCTCCCACCTCTTCACCTTGTCTATGCCGAGAATCCAAGTGATTCCGGGAAGGTTAGCCTTCCATGTTGTTAGTGCTCTCTTATTGTTCCCCACCTGCTGTGCAATTTGTACAACAATTAACACATTTATTTATTTGTAAGGGCAGGTACATAGTACGGTTCGTCAAAGATGGCTCAATGGCGACGAGTTTATAATATCATCCATGACGGAAGTTGCAAATATTGCACTAGAAGGAAGGACAGCATTACTTGAAAAGGACTACACTAAACTAGCAGCGCTCATGAACCGTAATTTTGACTTTAGAAGGTTTGAGATATCTTCATAATTTGATTATGTGATTGCCCGACTCTGATCCCCGAAGCTCTCATATCTGTTTATTTGGACTGCATTAGAGTAAATAAAAAATTAATTTGAAAAGGAAGGTGATTGCACAACATGATGTTGTTCAGACTATTGCCACACAAGGTTGATTGCACAAACTGTACATTTGTAAGCCACATCTTATTCACTTTCTAATCCCCTTGACAGACCAGAAAACTGGATAAATAAAAACAAAAAAGATACATGCCTCACACATGACACTCAGCTGGGCTGGAGTCGCACCTTATTTTTTGAACCGTCTTCATATTTCTAGCGTTTTATGTGTCTTATGGCTGCTCAATACTGGTACATGGATGTTGTGCAGAAGCATGTTTGGAGATGATGCTCTTGGCGCTTTAAACATAGAAATGGTGGAGGTGGCCCGAAGGGTGGGTGCAGCATCCAAATTCACAGGTAGCGGTGGGGCTGTAGTCGTATTTTGCCCAGATGGTCCTTCACAAGTGAAGCTCTTAAAGGATGCTTGCCAAAAGGCTGGTTTTAAACTTGAACCGATACAAGTCGTTCCCTCTCTTCTAAATGAGGTTGATCTTCAAACTCTCTCAAAATAGGCGAATGCTTGGGGTCTTTTCACTTTTGTTCTTGACACCCTCCCTCCCTTCTGTCCCCGTCTCTCATTGCTTTATATTGTTTAAGTAGAACTGTCAATTTTTGGTAGATGCTCCATTAATAAAAGGGAACGACGTTAATTTGATTCAATTGCTGTCATCTTGAATGCCTATACTTCCAAATTTCAAAGGTAGAACTGTCAATTTTGGTAGATGCTCCATTTATTAATACAAGGGAACGAAGTTATGCCAGCCTTAACAGAGACCAAGAGGAGTTGAAGATCAATTTTATTTCCATTGTGTAGAGAATGTTGAGATCAGAGCACAACTGAATGAAAAGACGACCTTCAACACGTCTTTGTATTTCTATTGACGGCAACGTTTCAATCAAAAGTACATTGGTCCAAACTAAAACTCAAAGTAATCTCTATAAGAAAGCATGAATTAGAATAAATTTTATGATCAATAGAACATATACAACATACCACCACTAGAGCTAGAGCTATAGAGATCTTGAGACCCCACCCAAAAAAAAGAAGAAAAAACCTAAGAATAATACACACAGCAATCAGCAAAAAGCTAAGCTCGATCAGAACCAAGAAACAGTGCACTCTCTCTCTCTCTCTCCCCCTTTTTCTGTGCTGAGCTGAGGTTACGTGATGAGAAAACACTTTCCAATTTCTAGGCCTCATCATATCTTGTGGTTAGTTTGGCTACATAACTCACTCATGCTAACTCACATTACCAGAAAAGAAAATATCTCCTACTCCCTACCTCCTGAGCATTTTATGAATACAGGCTACAGCTGCAGCTGCCAGTGGAAGCGCAACACGGTTCAAATTTTTCGTTCAAGATCTTAGTAAACAACCACAGCCACCAACAAGCTACTTGGAACCAATTCATTCACGGGTCACATAGTGAATTCATGAGCTCCCGCGGTGAACCCCAGATTGGAAGATCGAGTAGAGATTGGGTTATCTGTTCCTCTTGTTCACTACACATTGCTTCCGCTATGTCACACAGATTCGAAACATCACCAATGATAGCTTCCTGGGCTTCTGCCTGCATGGAGGAAGAAGGATTAAGGATTGCAATTATATTGTGCCTGTGGAACCGTGGAAGGATTTCGCCATACCACACACCCTTAACCCAAAAAACAAAAAGCTTTCTTCTCTGCCTCACTCTCCATTGGCAACTCAATTTTAAGGGCAATAAGGCTTGAGGCAACGTTCATAAGACAAGCACCGATGATACTAAAAGCAAGCATCACTGTAATTTTATATTCAGCGGAAGCAAAATATTCCAGGGCGAAATCAAGGAATTCAAAGAAAATAATAGCAGAACCCTAAAATGATGTTTGATTATTGGGAAATCACAGAAATCTTTGTTCTCAATTTTCCACAGGGTAAGTGTAAGAATGCCAAAATCAGCTCAACTGAGCCCCGACTTGGTGTCGTGGAGCATAAATTTCTGGCCTTGCAAAACCTTTAGACCCAAAATCTTTCAATTTTCATAATTCCCCACCAGCTAAACAATTGTAAAACCAAAAGAAAGAAATGCCCTTTTACCTGCAAGAGAAGCTCATCCACCACTGACCCACAAACGGACTCCGACCCTTGAAGCTCAGAAGGACCAGAACCAGGCAACGACGCCGTTTGCTCTCGTTCTTGCTCGTTCAATCGATGTTGCTGTTGTTGTTCTTGAAGATGGCATGTCCTCTCTTCCACTGCGCGCAATGTGCTCGACAAAAGTTCCCACTGGTCGATCTCCACCTGGTACTGAGTTTTGAGCTTCAAAAGCGACTTCTTCTTCCGCTCTCTCCGGAGTTTCTCGGCATCCTCCTGTAGATCCGCAGCAGACGCAGACGGTGGAGCCCGGAGCGACGAGTCAGCAGATGGGTCGACCCGGCGCTTCTTCCTGCGCTTGAAAACGAAGCCGTCTTCATTCACGAGCTCCCAGTCTTCGTCGTCTTCCCAAGCTGCTGCTCCTGAAGGTGTTGACTCCACCATTATTGCTCACAACGCAGCCACGAGCGGGAAAAACTGAAAATTTGAGACTGATCAAAATTTTAAAGTGACAAAATTCGTTCCAGTTGCCTTCAGGTGGACACTACAGTATGATGATGTGTTATGACATGCCACATGCCGAGAGAACGGCGTCGTTTTCACTTTCTCAATGAAAACGACACTCCGTTTTCTTTTTCTCGGTTGATATGACAAACGACACCCAATCCCTCTCCAGCTCCTCTGTCCTCCTGCTGCGTTCCAATGGCTAAACAAGTCTCTCTGTCCCTTCTCTTCCTTCGTCCAACACTCACACACTCTCGCTTACTGCAACCACACCCAATCCTCAGAGCCTTACGCTCTCGACCATGGCCGTCCTCAACGATGTCGTTTTCAACCACCTCCACTCCGTACCCACTTCAGTACGACCTGATCGTCAACCGCCCAACTCAGTCCTCGCTCGACCACACTCGCCGCCGACCCGCCCGACTCAGCAAACCCGACTCAGATAACTCCCCAGATTCCGAATCAGACTTACCGGAAAAAACCCCCTCCGTCTCAGAGTTGGGTTTCGAGAACTGGCTTGATGAGAAGCTGGCTTCGGCGGAGATGGACAAGTCGAAGAGGAAGTACTACAACAAGAGGAGGAAGAGGATGTACGGAACCGATTCGGAAGAAGACGAAAGGCGGAGGGAGGAGGAGGAGAGTTTGGTGGAGTTGAAGCCGGAGGTGGTTGAGTTCAACACGTTGCACAAGAGAGAGGAGGAGCTCTATTTTTACGACACGTTTAATTATCCATGGGAGAAGGACAAGCATTACAAGATGGTGTACCAGCTGGAGAAGAAGTACTTTCCTGATCAGTGTCTCGACAAGGCGTTTCTTGAACCCGGTCAATCCAGTCCTAATGCCAATGGTGATAGTAATAATGTGAAGGGGAAGGTGAAGCGAAAGAAAAAGAAGGATGGGGATGGTGAGGAAGTGGAGAGTTATAATAGTAAGGGGTTGGTGTTTTTTGAGGAAGATGAAGAGAGAAAAGTAAAGGGCGAGAGGGATTTGGTGAGCAATGTGAGTAAAGATGTTACAGAGAAGAAGGTGGAAGACTTCTTTAAGTGTTTGAAGAAAGTCCCCAATAAAGATGCTGAGGTTGGTAATGGGGAGCCATATCTTTTGACAAGGACTACTGAGCTTCCTCCCAAATGGGATGGTCCCTATGGGACTGTGGTTCTGGTGAACAAACCCAAAGGTGAGTCTCTACTCTCTACATTGCTTGTGTCTGTTTTCCATTAAATTCTGTTCCTGTACTCTTCTTCATATCTCCATATGCTTGTTTTCAATATTTTGTTGCAACTTCGAGAAAAAATGGCAACATTGTTAAAGTTTGACTTTTGTTGAGTAAAGGAATTATATTGCAATTTGCAATACAGGATGGACTTCTTTTACAGTTTGTGGAAAGCTACGTCGCCTAGTCAAAGTGAAAAAGGTGCCTTTCAGTTTCAGATGTTGCGTTATACCTTGCCATATAAATAAATGCTCATATAACTTATATTCTGGTGGATTACAGGTAGGGCATGCTGGAACTCTTGATCCTATGGCAACTGGTTTATTAATTGTATGTGTTGGAAAAGCCACTAAGGTGGTAGACGGGTAGGTATTTGGATGCCTTGCAATTCATCTAGTTCAATTGCTAGTAGGCCACATTATATATATGAATAGAAAGGGTTTTAATATATATTATTGCAGATACCAAGGTATGATCAAGGGTTACAGTGGTGTTTTCCGATTGGGGGAGGCTACTTCAACTTGGGATGCTGATTCACCGGTGTGTTTATGTTTTATGACCAACGTCAATCTCATTTTGGACTAAAATTATATGCTTGTGGTTGCTTGTATATATGTTCTCTATTCTGAAATCATGATAACTAAAACCAGAGTACATAGTTATCCACATTCTGACCTATAGATTGGGAAAGCCGTTTTAGTCCTATGTAATTCTTTATTCAATTTTATTACTGAAACGTCAATTATAATGCATCATAGCAGTTGTAAATATTGTCTGGTGTGGATGAACTTATTTGACTAGTCTCTAAGAACTACTGTTATTGCCCCTTTTGTTTAGTATTTCAGTGCAAGCTTATACATGGTCTAAATTTTTCTCCCACACCACTCTCTTATGCAGATCATTCAGCGTGAGCCCTGGGAGCATATCAAAGATGAAGACATAAAGAAAGTTGCTGCGTCCTTTTCTGGGGAGATCTGGCAAGTACCTCCAATGTTTTCTGCCATCAAAGTAAGCATTTTGTGTTCTACATATAGTGATGACTCTAAGATAGTTGTTGGCAGAGACATAGTCGAGTCCTGGCGATTTCATATATTAAGTCCAAATAATGTGTGTTTCAATGTAAAATGTCATATAAGCAAGCTTGGTGAAAAGTGTAGCACCGGCTTCAGCTAAATTATTGGCATCAAACTCTTATATTTTGTTTTGAACTTTTTGCCTATGACATAGCAACTCTCAGGAAACTTCGTGTTTTCCTTTTCTGAATCGCATGAATATATTCTGTGGATTCTAACAGGTTTAATCATACTCAAGTTTCACTAACATGCAACAGGTTGGAGGTGAAAAGATGTATGAGAAAGCAAGAAGAGGAGAAAGCATTGAGCTCTCACCTAGACGTATATCAATTTTCCAGTTTGATATTGAGCGCAGCTTAGATGACAGGTACCCTACTTTTGTTGGTATTTGTTTATTGTTGCCTATTTAATTAACAAACTTTGTCACTCTAACACCACGCTTTGTTGCTAAATTGTATCTAGTGTGTCCAGGTAGAATTCATCTATTTATGATACTTTAGAAGTTCTGAGCTCTTATGTTCTTGAGCCTGTATATATTTATGATTTATTGTATTTCTGCAGACAAAATTTGATTTTCCGGGTTACTTGCTCCAAAGGGACATACATTCGGTCGCTATGTGCAGATTTGGGGAAGGCTCTCGGAAGGTATTCAGTTTTAAGAGACTCATTCTTGACTGTGAAATCTCCCCCTTTAAATAATTGTCATCCTATACTTGAACTATTTTACAAATGAAGAGAAGATAGAACTTTTATCTGTCAAATGAAATTTGTTTGAGCTTCTTTTTCATAATCTGGATTATGGGTTGACGTATTTTAAACTCTTCATTTGCAGCTGTGCCCATTTAACTGCTCTTCGAAGAGATTCAATTGGTAAGAGCCTTAATTCTTGACTTTGAAGTGCTGATTAATTGCAATAATTTGACCTTTATTGGGCAATGATTTCCCCACTCCTATTTTATCCACTTACACTCCTTTTTTAGTTATAAAAAAGGAGTGTAAGTGGATAAAATAGGAGAAAAAGGAGTGGGAAATCACCACTCTTATTTTTTTCACGTGCTGACTAGTTTCATTGATGGATATTGAAACTTACACCAACCAAAGCATACATTGAAGATTAAGTTGTTGAAATTAATATATTGTTAACTGGTAGTTACCTATCTACTTGGCAGGGGAATTTTCTGCAGACAATGCATGGGACTTCAAAGAGCTGGAAGAGGCAATCACCAAAACTTATTTCTAACTATGATTGCAATCTGATTCTCTGTCTCACGAGTTTTGAAGCTTTGGCGAAGTACACAAGACTACAAGAGGATCGGCCAATTCTTTTTTAAGCTTATTATAGCCATAAAAATTGAGATTCTTTTTCTTTTACCTTTTATTTTAATTTAAAATGTAACATATTTTTGTGTGTTAATTTAAAGTGTAGCATTAATCATTTAAGAAATTGACTTGTGAGAACTTGAGTTCATGATCGAACGATTCTTTGAGGCAAAACTCACTAATGAATTCCGTTAACTGTACGTGTACGAAGAGAGAAGAATTCAATCCGTACAACTATCTATACCCAAAAGTGCAATTCTTGAAAATGAGAACCAGCTAAAAAAGAAAAAAACACATCCACAAGTCTAGAATGTAGCAAGCAACGAAACAATTACAGCCAGATTGAATGTAACTTGTGTAAGAACGTGGTAATTGTACAAGTTACTCACGCCATAATCATAAACCCTCTAATGAGCTGTTGAATTTGGAGGATCAACTCCCATTGCGTCAAAATATGCTTTCTCTGCTCTGGTCATTCGTGCTTGAAACATTGTCCATTCTCTCCTGCACCTCTCTCTCACCTGACACAAGGAATTCACAAATTTCAATGCTCTCTTCTTATTTGTAAAAAGATGGTGTCAAATTGTCAATTCACTAGAAATGCCACAATTCTGTATGTCCATGACACCAGGTCGAAACAAATACACTGGTGCAGAAACACAAAAGCAGAGAGAGAGAGAGAGAGAGTTTCAGAAGAAAAACAAATAAAGGACAGAGGTTGTTAAATACCCCTTCCCATGGTGCTCTTCCACGCTCTGCTTGCCCCTGTCCAGAAAAAAAAAATCTTGGTGAGTCACTGAGTATAGTTTTTTCCAGATAAAATCAATAATATATCAGTTGAGGTTAAAAGCTCGGATTTACTTGGTTCCCGAGTGATGGAACACCTTGATGGACAATCCACTGTGCATCCACGACTCCTATTTTCTTATGTGCAGGCTGTTTCCAAGCAAAGACATAAGGTCGAAGACCCCAATTACAACCACAAAGAGGAGGGCGTAATATAATTAAGGCAGAAAGAGAAATCTGTTTCGAACCTCTACGCATTGTCTAAGAGCAAAATCCAGACCCCAGCCATGGACCAGGTCATTCTGCAAAAGCAGGGAAAAGTTTTTGGAAGTAGCCACAGAGCAATCCCTAAAGGACTTGCAATAGTTCGAACAGAGAGATAATAATATATACCTGAATCATGTGCCAAACACAACGCCATGCATCCCGAGAAAACACAGGTGCCATAATTTCAACAAACCTGCACATTTGGGTATTCATGGTAGGATGTATTAGAAACCCATTCCAAAAGTTTCCACAATGGTGATGGAGAAGATATCTTTACATACGCTGCACATGGTGGCAAATGTGGATCATTACACCAACCAGGTTTCTCCTCTGTCAGCCTGTAGGAAGAGGTTGAACAAAATATACTGTCAATCAACAATTTGAATCATCACTTGTATTTGGCCAACCCAATGTCAAGTGGATATATTATCAATGAGAGGAGCGGAATACAAAGACATTAGAAAATTTTCCAGTCTTACATGTGAACTTCACTGTCACCTCTCCGCTTCGTCATTTGCCATGTTAGCCCATTATTTGGTTCTAAACCAGGCTGAGATATTTCCAAACCATATTTCCTTACCAATTTTATGTATCTGGCACAAAGAAGATTAAGCCTTAATATACTAGTTCATCCGAGCAATAATTTTCAAGTAAAGCAGCCCAATGAATTTCCATCACTCACTTCTCTGCGTTGAAGTGCTCCACACCAAGATCCTCATCCCAAACAAATATGTAGTCGTAGGGTGCCACAATATCAGGATGCAAAAACCGCTTGGCATACCACCTGGAAGCAGTTTCCAGGAAGCTTGTATCAAAACTTAACTTTTGCAGGGTTAAGATAAATCCATTGCAGAATTAGAAGGACGAACTTCAAATATATGAAGAGGATAATATCTTTCTAACCATTTAGTTTGCTTCTGAATGCTCACATGGATAGCCCGCTTTGACCACTCAAATTCATCCCATTCACTTGTCCGCCCATCGTAGTGAAACAACAGAATGGTGAAATTCTTTGAGAACTGTGTAAACTTACGTTCAGCAAGAGAGAGAGAGAGAGAGAGAGAGAGAGAGAGAGAACTGTACAAATGAACTTGCAGAGAGATCGGACCTTTTTCACTGCTGCATCAACATTATTTTTCTGAGCATAGCCTACGGTAAAGGTTACAAGATACTTCGGCTTGATGATTAAGTCCTGCAAGTGCCACCTCCACAAGAAAAGGTTCAGATTAGAGAACAAATCTGACACAAAATCTAATCATCAGTGACAACAGAGCAATTGTCATTGTTGTAATTAAGTGCAATATTTAGCAATCCTCTAAAGAGAGGACAGGATAACCGAACAGCACTCTACTATAACTACACAGGCTGAGAGGAATCAAGAGATCAGATGTGTCTTTCATGCTAAATTTATGGTAGCAGATGCACACCTCACTGGGCAGACCCCATAGTCGGCGAAGATAGAAATCCGACTCAGATGCAATGATGCCTGGGGGTAGGCTTTCAGCACCTCTAGGATTTGTTGGAACCCAAATCTGCATTATAGTCAAATGGATAGTAGTCAGTGCCAGCACATAAAGATGAGGACATTAATAGATGCTGCCAAATTTCCTGGAAAAATTACAACATCAGAATATCTTGAAGAAAAGTATGCATCATTAGATAGTACACCAATGTACTTTTACTCCATGAGGTCTTCAATAAATAATTGTCACAAATAAGTATAACCTTTCATTGGACATTATAACTTTGACTCTAAGAACACTATAAGGGAACGTATGTCGAGAAGGCAAAGCAATTTCTGCTCATTAATATTACAAGAATTATATAAATAACAGAATAGCCTAGGAGTAGGATTAAACCCATGTGTACTGCCCAAGTATGACTAAAACTGAATGAACGTACCTTTGCCTCCTCATTAGATACATATCTTGCGGAGTTGTCTGTGTTGCCCTTCAAAGAAGACCAGGCATTCAACAGTGCTTGGGTTGAAAACCCGGAGTACTTGTCCTCTATGTACGAAAGATCAATGGAAGGAAAAAGGCTGGATGGAAGATTCATCTACCAGATTCAAAGGTCCATGTTACTCTTTATATGATCAGGATTCAGAAGCAAATGAATCAAAATACACAAGCATACAAAAGAAAGACCACCTTAGTCAAATAGACTGTTGGAAATGAAACTCCTAAAAAGAAGCCTAATACAATTCCAACGAAGACTGTGACAACAAGCCGCATTTTCTCATTGGGGTTTCTAATATTTCCACTGCAGAACAATTTGAACTTTGAGCGTCGTCGAAACATGATGAACATAAAGAATGTCCCAAGTAAAAAACAAGAGTTAGAAGTTTCATACATGCGTATCGGAGACACCATATTCTTATGATTCTACAATCACAGAGATTGAGTCCCAGCAAGCAATAGGCGGTGTTCCATACACAAAATAACTCAGCAGCTTTTACAGCTTCAGCAGTGAACTTCTTGCTCTCATGGCAAGGAAACCATTCAACCAACCCTGAAAAAACAAATAAGTTGCAACTTAAAAAACATGCTGTGTGAGTCAAATTAATTACAGCAAACTAGCTCAGGTAATCTGATTACAGAAAATGACCAATTTAAATTCAGCTTGAGTTGATAAATTCATGAATTTATTTCAAACAAGGGGAGATGAAGTTAAAACTCATGACCGAATCAAGAATATTAACATGAAAAACGAAAGGTGATTGCCTGCCTTAATCTTCAATGGAGAGAGGAGCAAGCCAAACGCGGCCCAGCTTGTCCGGGGAGGAGCAGGAGCAGAGCAGGAGCTTCCAATTTCGTTTCCCTGACTTTCTGGAACCGATTGATCGAACAAACGATTCACAAAAACAAAAAGGAAAGAAATTGGATGGAAAATGGCACTGAGGAACTCTGACTCTGAGATTTGAATTCCCCGAGGAATTTACATAACGCCTTTTAACACTTGCATTGTGTTCGGGTTGCAATCCTGTGTGCGCTCATACCGGGAAGTTTGAACCATAGGATACAGTCTTACTGTCGGATTAACATACTTTGTGGGACCCACATGAACATCTGTAGATCTTGCCGTTGAGTACATTCCAAAACCGGAGTGGTCAAGTCTTTGCCTTTCCTTTGAGTGGGGCCCGGTCAGATAAGGCAAAATGAAAACAAAATGATTGGTGTTGTGATTAGTGATTGGAAATTTGGAGCGTACTGTTTGACAATTTTGGGCCGGCCGCTCACTCATTTCAAATTTAATTTTGAATCAAATAAAGATACATACATTATATTACCCTCTATATTATTGTAATTATGGTGATGTTATTGACTATGATTGGATTGAACTAAAAGGTATGATTGAATTACATTGGATTAGGTTACATTAAGTATCATTTATTCATGATCACTAGTGTCTCGTACTTGTATTTGTGTTGCGGCTCCCGGGTCTTAAGTACAAGGGTTAAGGGGTTGGAGTATTGCATTATGTATCCCATATTCTTAGTAAGATAAGTTATTTTATCCTAATCGCATTCATTTTTTAGCACCAAACATGAATCACGATATTGAATTAAACTACTCCAATCTGCTACTTATCTTACCCACCAAACGAGGAACGCAAGCACGAACAGGCCTTGCCCATGGTTGAGGTGGGCTGTAGCCCATCCGAAATCTACATAGTATAATCCAGCCCACCAGCCCATCAGCCCATACTTCCACACCCTTACCGTCTGCCTTATCCATTATGTAAAAGACACTGCCCCAAGCCCAACCGTCGCCCAACCGTCGCTCAGCCTCATCCTCCTCCTTGCAGCCGCTCCACTCTACAGCCTCTGTGAGTTCTTCCAATTCAATTTATGATTTTGTTTCTTAGTTCTAATTTAGGGATTTAGGAACAAATTTTAATGCACTTTTGAGTTTCTTTTTGTAGGTGTCGATCAGTGACTTTCCTAAATTGAATCCCTAAATTAGGCATTAATAAAAAAATAAAAAAAAATAAAAAAGATATAAATTAAATCCCTAAACTTGGCTGAGCTTATTGTATTCCTATAATTCGGTTCTTAAAGGTCCTAAGGTATGGATGTAAACTTTTTGCTGCTATGCGTTTGTTAATTGATCGTTGTTAGCTTATCGTTTTGTGGGCTTGGCTGATTGCAAATCAATGTGCAAAAATGTCATAAAAACAAAGGAGACTTTGTTGAAATTTCGAGGGAATCTTTGTCCTAAGGAAAATTGGCTTAAGTTCAGCCCACCCCAATTTCAAATCCTGGGTTCATCCGTGCATGCAATTAATGTATTTCTCGTCTTCTTCTTCTCACTGTGAATGTTGACACTGCATCTATGCTTTGTGCAGGCCTGTAATGGCGGCCCTAGGTTCAGATTTAACTTAATCATGTACTATTTTATGTTTTTTTCCCCATTAGAGAAATGAAATGGTTTTCCAACATATTAAACACAAAATCAACGCCAAATTTCCACTTTCCTCTATAACTTTAGATTTCAAATCCCGAAGTTTAATTTGTTTGGTTATCAAATTTCAGAATTTGTTTCGAATTTGGTGGGAGTGAAATTTTAGGACAAAACAATGTCATCGCCAGACATTGCAGGAATACTGGACAAGTCAAAAGAGCTCGATCAATTAAGGAAAGAGCAAGAAGAGGTGCTCATCGAGATAAACAAGATGCATAAGAAGCTCCAAACCAGTGAGTCATTCTGTTAGTCCTTGAAGATATCCCTTTAAATTTTTATAATTGGTTTTGTCCTTTTTACAGTACGTATTTCATTGGAATATTGTTGATGTTTGATTTTTGTTTTAATCGATCAGTTGGTGAATAGTGAGGAATGACCAGTATCAGTATGTTTTACATGTAATATTAATTTCTTTTTCAATCTCTCTTTGCGTGTCTATATAGCTCCTGAGGTGGTTGAGAAGCCTGGGGATAATTCGTTGGCAAAGCTGAAGACTTTATATGTTCATGCCAAAGACCTTTCTGAAAGTGAAGTGAAGTATGTTTGTTTTACATCCTAAATGAAGTTGAAAACTTACTTGGAACTGAAAAACAAAAACGTGTTTAAAAAGTTCCTATTAAGCTTACATATATCTCTACCTTTTTGGGTCGTTGGGCTGAAGATTAAATGAAATATGTTTCTGAAGCTCATGCTCTTGTCATTACTTCTTTTTCGTACAAGTTACCTTAGTTTATTGACAACCTATTCAGGTTAGTTTATTGTATTTGCTTGCAGTGTTTCAAATTTGTTGTTGAGTCAACTTGATGCTCTGTTGCCTTCTGGACCTCCAGGGCAGCCACGGAGAAGGATGGGTATGGATCAAAGACCTATAAGCATTCCTCTTAAAAAATTACAGTTTTCTGTTGGCTTATAGATAAATCTTTTGCAGTCTTTGTTTTCAAGATAAACAAATCATGAGTGTCCCAAGCCCTTTTGTTCAGTTGGTTTTATTGATAGATACCAATATATATGCTTACCAAATATATAAATAAATAAATATATATATATGGCATTATATCGAGTGACTAAAATTCCAATGAGATTCCCGTGCTTTTTATTTGGAAAACACTCTATTTTCCTCATTTAGCTGATATTACATATACTGCAGAAGGTACTGAGCAGAAAAGGAAGAGAATGAAGTCTGATTCAGATATTTCGAGGATGTCCCCCTCCGTGCGAAGTCAACTTGAGCTTTTTGCTAGTCTAAAAGGTGAACAGGTATGCAGCATCATGGTGATTTGTCATCTCTGGCTGCAGCACGCAGCCAGCTACTCTAGCACTCTTGGTTAAAATGTTGTACTTCACTTAATTGATACTCCTTGAAGTTCTGTTTTTACTAACATTTACTTTCACTTTTAGGTAGCAGCTAGGGTCATGGTCACTCAAGAAGATGCTGAAAAGGAAGAGTGGCTTGTTGTAAAAGTTTTGCATTTCGACAAGGAAACAAGAGAGTAAGTTTCGATTTACTTTCTATATGACAACTTATTGTAGTTTACCGTGATAATTGATTGAGCACAGTCAGTATCTGTCAGCAGGTTGCTTTGTTTAATGTGGATATCGGGTGATGTTAGTTAATAATAATGGAACAAAATGATATGAAGAATGACACTCCACTGGGCCTACTTATTCTTTCAGAACCTACTTGATCCTTTTATTAAATGCCAGTTTATGTGCAGACTTGAAGTACTAGATGAGGAGCCCGGTGATGATGAAGAAGGTGGCGGCCAAAGGTGACTTCTCTTTTTGGGTGTTTTAACAATTCTGTTTCTCTGCTTTGTATTGAATGATTTTCTGATACTTAACAACTCTCTGTTTCATGATTATTTTTATATTAGCTTTACACAAATGAATTTTGAAATTACGTGCTTATCACAATGCCAATTAGCTGAATCTAAGTTGCTCATTATTTGGGATATCCTCTTCATTTTTCTCCGTTGTCATTGCTGCTCTCAGAAAGTACAAGTTACCTATGACAGCTATTATCCCTTTCCCCAAGAGAACTGATCCTTCCAGTGCCCAAGATTTCCCTACTGGAAGACACGTTTTGGCAGTATATCCAGGAACAACTGCACTATATAAGGCAACTGTGGTGAACGGCCATCGCAAGGTGATGATTCCATCCATGCACTTTGATTCACTTCTCTTTCGTGGATACCAGTCCATTTTGTTTCGTTTTAGTGATTATGATGTGGAACTAACCCACCCCTGGTTATGTTGTGTGCGTGCTTCTGTGGGATGCTCAACCATCAGAGGAAGACAGATGAGTAAGTGACATTCCCAAATTTTGGTAGCAGTGCATTGTTTATGTGGTTTGGAAATCTAAATTGAAAATATATATAATATAAGCACCTATAACCTAATGACCTGCAAATGGAAACAATTATACTTATTTCAACTACTCGAACAACACTATTTTTCTGCATATGTATTATAAGGATACATGTCATGTTCAGTTTGGATTTGGACAGGTATTTGCTGGAATTTGACGACGACGAGGAAGATGGAGCCTTGCCTCAGAGGGTAGTGCCCTTCCATAAGGTGGTTGCCCTGCCAGATGGACATCGTCAGTGATTCTTTCTTGCCGTTTATAGAATAACTTTATGTATAAATTAAATTAATTGATGTGTATTTTTACCCTCACTACCCCCATCCACACCCCCACAGTATCTGTAAGTGTAACCACATGTTTACGAGCTCTTCTTAGGGCATGTTTACGTATTAGTAATGGGTATGAGAGAAAATGGAATGATTTCCATTCCTGATTTTCCTTGTGTTTACTTGCAAGGGTGCATTTTTGCTCACCACCTTAACCCTAGGTGTACCCTCACCACCCCTCCCAAAAGTTGACACATGTCCATGAGTTTAACTATAGTTAATTCTTATTTTTTATTTATTTGATAACATTATTATGAGAGAGAAACAATACTTCAATAAGATTTTTCCTGATTTACCCTTATTAACCTAGCAAACTTTCCACTTTTTTAAAATTAATTAACAACTCCCCAAATAATAATCTATGCTGATCTTCAATTGCAAGCTTCCTCCATTTGTTCAGTGAAAGATAGATAATAATCTATGCTGCTTTTTTTTTATTTTTTTTATAGTACTTTGTATTGCTTGATTATTTTTTATACTTTCGTGATTGCTCTGCTTTATTTAGTTTTTTTAGTCCATGATGTTGGTATCATCTTTACTGGTGGATCAAGACTAGCATAGAAAGGAATGATAGAATGAACCGTACTGCAGAGCCAGAGGAATGAGACAATGAAGGGTATTATTGCAGAGCTTGGTTCCTTCATCGTTTTTGGAATTTCTGCAACTCCAATATATTTTGCTCCTATGGAGTAAGCTTTATTTAGAATAATAAAACCAGAATTAATTAGTCCAAAACTTGCAACATCATAATTAACTCATCGGTTGAAGAAAGAAAACAGGTTCAAGGATATTGAGAAATTGCAACGTAATAATATATTGAAGAACAATGTAACTTTTGGGCGTGTATAAAAAGAGTTAACTAAAGCCAATTGAGATTCAAAGTATCTGGGTGTGTTCTTCAAAGTATTGAAGCCTGTGAATTGATATTCATATTAAAGCACGGGATATAAAGCCAATTGCCAATTATTTATTTGGGTAGTTGTTAATTAATTTAGAAAGGTGGAAAGTTTGCTAGGTTAATAAGGGTAAATCAAGAAAAATCTTATTGAAGTATTGTTTCTCTCTCATAGTAATGTTATCAAATAAATACAAAATAAAGAATTAACTATAGTTAAACCAATGGACATGTGTCAACTTTTGGCAGGGGTGGTGAGGATACACCTAGGGTTAAAGTGGTGAGCAAAAATGCACCCCTCAAAATTAGGTATCAAATCAACTAGGGGGAGTAGTTGATTATATTATCATTCCTGTTTTCTCTTTGTAACTTTCAAAAATACTCTTACCACTTTACTATAATTCCAAAACACCTCAAACCCTTAAAAAAATAAAAAATTCACGCAAAGAAGTTTCAAGGTGCTCCAACTTCTTTTTCACGTTAGGTGAAAGATATATATTTATTGGAGTTTATTTTTTCGTTTGTTGCAGCATTAGTTTGGTCTCCTTAGCCAATTTAAGAATTATACATGTGCGGTGGAGTAATGAAATTAATTTGGATTTTGATTCATGAAAATTAGTAAACAATATTAATGGGAATCAACCCCATTCATTTGTTAATTCCATATGTTTAATAAACGCTAAATGGGAATGATTCTTATTATACTGATTCAGTAATTCCCCAATTCCTAAATTCTCTAATTCCTTACTTTTTCCATTACTGATACGTAAATATGCTCTTAGTTTAAGCTTCAACTCTATTCTTTTTTATGTAGCGGATGACATATGTTTTATTTCTTCATTTGAGTCTCGGCAATGAAAGCTCAACAGATGGTGATACAATACGTGTTTTATTTACAAATACTTTACCCTAGATAATAAACTCTGTCGTTTATAGCAGTTGTGAGCAAAGTTCGAGCACTTTTTTCCCTTATTTTTAAATTTTTTTAAATTTTTTTGGGCCAAATATACCCTTTTCCCTTATTTAGATTAAGCTAATTTTTTCATAACAATGGCGACTAAAATCTGTTTGTTTGTTTGTTTTTTTATTTTTTCATATTGCATAATGTATAATCAAGAGTTTAATAACATAAACAGCCAACATGAATATGAATATTATTGGATTGGGAAAAATAAAATAAAAAAGAATATTATAGAAAATAAAAAAAATTAAAACCAAGAAATAAAAAATAGTTATAGTAAGTGGACCCACTGTGATCTCCAAAGCCCTTCCCCTTCAAATTCCCTCATTTCTGAGTTGCCTCCTCCGCCCTTTCTTTCGATCAACCTCGCCGCCGACAATCCATGGCTTCAGCAATCGGAGCGCCATTGTCATCCAAACTCCTTTTCACGCCCTCAGCACCAACTTCATCCTCACTCTCTCTCTGTACCCACCTTTCTCTCTCTAACCAAAAACCCACCATCCCCAAAACCCTAGCTTGCTCCAAGCCAAACAACCAACCCTTCCTCTTCTCCACCTTCCTCACCACCACAAATGTCTCCACAGTCTTGCGACCCCCACCATCGCTCCGCCGGCGCCGATCCTTCACCGTCCGGATGGCACGTGGCAAATTCGAGCGCAAGAAGCCGCACGTGAACATAGGCACAATCGGCCACGTTGACCATGGCAAGACGACCCTGACAGCTGCCCTGACCATGGCCCTAGCCTCTATGGGCAACAGCGCCCCGAAGAAGTACGACGAGATCGACGCCGCCCCCGAAGAACGCGCGCGCGGGATCACCATCAACACCGCCACCGTCGAGTACGAGACCGAAACCCGCCACTACGCCCACGTGGACTGCCCAGGCCACGCCGACTACGTCAAGAACATGATCACCGGCGCCGCCCAGATGGACGGCGCCATCCTAGTCTGCTCCGGCGCCGACGGCCCCATGCCCCAGACTAAAGAGCACGTATTGTTGGCCAAACAAGTCGGCGTGCCCAATGTAGTTGTGTTCTTGAACAAGCAGGATCAGGTCGACGACGACGAGCTGCTTGAGCTGGTGGAGTTGGAGGTCCGAGAGCTTCTGTCGTCGTACGAGTTTCCGGGAGACGATGTGCCGGTGGTTTCTGGGTCGGCATTGTTGGCTTTGGAGGCTTTGATGGCGAACCCTGAGATCAAGAGAGGGGAGAATGAGTGGGTGGACAAGATATATGAGCTGATGGACGCTGTGGATAATTACATTCCGATTCCGCAACGGCAGACAGACCTTCCTTTTTTGCTGGCGATTGAGGACGTGTTTTCGATAACAGGGCGAGGCACGGTGGCCACGGGGAGGGTGGAGAGGGGTAGAGTGAAAGTTGGGGACCATGTGGACATTGTGGGATTGAGAGAGACTAGGAATACAACAGTGACTGGGGTTGAGATGTTTCAGAAAACGCTTGATGAGGCTATGGCTGGTGACAATGTGGGGCTTCTGCTGAGGGGTATTCAGAAGATTGATATCCAGAGGGGGATGGTGGTGGCCAAGCCGAAAAGCATCACGCCACATACCAAGTTTGAGGCCATTGTGTATGTGTTGAAGAAGGAGGAGGGAGGGAGGCATTCCCCGTTTTTCCCAGGGTATAGGCCGCAGTTTTACATGAGGACGACAGATGTTACAGGGAAGGTGACCGGGATAATGAATGATAAGGATGAGGAATCAAAAATGGTGATGCCGGGAGACCGGGTGAAGATGGTGGTGGAGCTTATAATGCCGGTGGCTTGCGAGCAGGGAATGAGATTTGCTATTAGGGAAGGTGGCAAGACTGTTGGGGCTGGTGTCATCCAGTCCATTATTGAGTGAGTTTCATAGTGTTATTAGTTAGGGTGTTTAGTCGGTGTTTATTTTATGATTAAATCTATAGAGAACTTAGTTACTTATGGTGTGGATTATAGTTTTGTTGATAGCTTGATCGCATTGAACTTTGCTCTCTGTCACTTTCTTGCTTTTATAATGGTTTTTGGAGTTGCTGTTGTAGTAGCAGTGTTAACTGTTAAAGTTTTTGCAACAACAAGTTCAATACTTTTTGTCAAGTGTTTTGAAAGGAGTTATTAAGAGAAGTAGAATAAGGTGAGAAGCAGAACAATTTTTGTTGTCATGTGAAGTTTCTGTGTCTCTTTTGAGTTTTGGCTCTTTGTTGAGTTGAAGGGGATGAGGAACTGAGATGGATATGAATGTTATCGGATTGAAAGTGAAGTCGGTTGCCATCTGTTTGTTTGTTGCGTACTGAATCTTACATGTATTTGGTTGTCACAATCAAATCAAAGTTTAATGGTCCAGGATGTATTTGGAGCAGTGTGTGTTGTTTTCTCTCAGTTTTACATCACCCCACCCCCTTGTTTGCACCACCACCATTGTGTGTAGTTGTGACAATAAAATCAAAGGTTAGTGGTCCAGGATATATCAGAATTGGACCTCAAGTGTCATTCTGTCAAGCATGCAGCTTGGTGTAGGGTAGGTGATCTCACATTTTTGTCGGTAAGAGGAACAGTAGCCCTCGCGTGCGTGGGCATGGCGTGGTGGTTCTTGGCCAGTGTGTTGTGAGACTCACATGCATAGGACTAGTTCTTGTCCGCAATATCAAATGGATGATTATTTCAGGCGAGCTAGCAGAGCAACAAGACAGTTTCTGGGTTCTCTCTTGTTGTCCTTTTTTATCTTTGACACCAAAGAGTTTGCATATCTTTTGCAGTCGATGAGAATACATTGCAAACAAGTAATCTGGTTACAGTCGGAATACATTCGTGTCTCTGTATTAATATTATTGTCAATGCTCAACTCTGCATCATGTTCATTAGGTCATGAGGGTTCTAAAACTAGAAGAGAATCGAGAATTTATGAATTGCCATGAGTTGATGTTAATGGGAAAAGAAAAAACTGATTGAAGCAGTCATCATTTGAATTCCACATCCTCGTGATGAAGATTTTCAAGGACTCTCTTGAGTCTATATGTCTCTTCTCGTGTAATACATCTTGTTACTAATTGCTAACCTTCTCAAAATAATAATAATAATAATAATAATTGCTTTCCTAGCTCAATATCCAACCCCATATTGCTGTAGTACTCTTAACTCCGATGACAAGCTTGAGTGATTGGGGTTGGCGGGTTCGATGACAACGAGCCATTAAGTATATGATTAGCAACCCACTGGTTGGCACCCTGAGTATAGTGAACTCCATCCCAGCTGATGT